CATCCTCTGTCTCTTACATAGTGTTTCTCTAATTTTTATCTAAGTGTAAACTTATTGCATAAAGTCTGGATATTTGATCTCGAAACAAAGATAGATAGGTCAAATATAAGAAAGTTGGCACCAAATATTAAATATCTTTGTCATGATAAGCTGATGCCCAAACTGATTTTTGTATATAACAAAAAGAAATGTAAAGCAGATAAAATGATTACTGTAAGCAGGGCATGACTATAATAGAAGTGCTTGCAAAGTTAATTGTAATTAGAGTGTAAGAAAAGAACTTCTCCCACTTTTAGCCTTCCTTATAAACTAACTCTGGGCGCATACCAAACTTAGTTCAGGGGTTCTTTGCGGAAGAATTTTAGTCCAGGATATTTCTGCCAGACAAGCTAGTTTCAGCAGGAATTTTCAAACATATTTCTAATGCATATCAGTCATATATATAGTTTATTGCTGCGTAAAATTTAGGGGAATATGTTGCCTTGGTATTCATGACCTTCTTTGTATACTAATTTTTCAGCTCCCTAGGCAACAAACAACAACATTGTATTTGCACCCGCAATTTCATATTAGGCTATTACTGGGAAAATTATATTAAAATAAGCTTAAAAATTAGGTTAAGCAAATCTGCAATTTCTAGCAGAGACAGGGCGGATGTCCAGTTTATCTAAGACATTTAAACCACATCTTGCACTGTCAGGCAATGTCTGTTACCATGGATTGGTTTTTCTACGGTAGCCTTTAGCATAAACGTCTTCTATAAAGGTGGAGTTTCATCTTGACAAAGGCAAACTGTAACAATTCACCATTTCCCATGAATATGAGTTTAGAGCACCCATTTGAATTACTTCTACCAAATACCAATTTTCATTACATGTTTTATAAAGCATTGTTTGCATAAAAGTGTAGGCATCGACTAAAAGTTATGCATAACATCGGACCGTTTGCGTGATCGTCGTAATCTAGCCTTAACTTGGCCGATTCGTGGTGTCCATCCTCTTCCTCTGTCGACCAGTCTTGTTTCCCTCTCAGCTTCTGAGCCAAGCAGGCCAGATTTAAGAACCAATCGCAAGCTTCCTATATGGCTCTAAAAGTCACGTGTCCCTGTTACATTTCGTCCTCAACCTTGTCGGATAGCACTTCTACTCCAAGAGACCGCTCTCCTCCGCCTATGTTCCAGTCTCGTCGGTCCCCTGGCCCAGATGATGTCGTCAAGAGGCCGAGAAGAGCAGAAGTTGACAACTTGAGCAGTAAATAGCAGTGAAAATGTATTGCTCTATCTCAATTTAGAATGGGGGAAGTTTAATTTGAAAAACTTCTGGCATATTAAGTGTAAACTTTTGCCAAATAATAATAAGATTGAGGCTAAAGTGGAGCGGAAAAATGCGATTTCGCAACCACTATGTCCGGTCACCAGCTCTGCTTTCTTTCGATTCCCCTGCCTTATCGCTCTCGGTGTGCATGAGGATACAGAAGGAGGACATACGTCTCTGCGAGAGACGGTAAAGTGTGAATTTTGCAGTTGGTGACAGACACAGAATGGGTGGAGTCAACTCAGCAGCCCTTGACGCCCTATTCATACTGATTGATGGGGAGGATGATCAGTTGACCCAAACCCCACTGGCTGGCTCCAACTTGCTTCAGTCAGTCAGTGAAAGGTGAGGTTACCTGAAGGATCAGCCAAGGAAGTATTCTCGGCTCCCGGTTCATCGTGTGATAGGCAAACACAAGACTAGCCTGCATTAGGATGTTCCTGGCCATGATTGTAGTCAGTAGGACAGGTAATCTTGACTACCAAACGCTCGGGTTGTCAGAGGAGGCTGGAGGGGCTGTGCCCAGAAACCGGTCGTCTAGCGGCTCCTTATCGCATCTCCTCTCTTAAATTACCATACTGATACTCACACTACTCCACCAAACCAATGCCAGACTAGGCAACAGCCAGTTCTGGGAGTTGGAGGACAGCACATCTACAGACCGTTTACTTTTGGCTCTGCCTATTGTAGGCTCAAGTTTGAAGTGGTCGCTGAAATGCTAAATAAAGCACTCTAGATGATCATCTTGCCGGTTAGGAGAATAGACGATGGAAGAGAGAAATAGAAAAAGGAGGAGGAGGAGGATGACGATGTTGATTCTGCTACTGTCGATAATGATACTAAAATGATGCTGCTGCTGATATTATTGATATTGATGAGGATGATGCTGAGAAAGAGGAGGAGGAGGAGGAGGAGAGGAAGGTAGAGGAGGAGGCTGCTCAACTTCATAAATACGGCTAAAATAATAAGGGTAGCATAAAGTGATGAAAAACGAATAGTTGAATTTTTCATTGTCAAGAAGGCTTTTGAGGCAAAAGTAGATAATATGTATATGAGATGTATTCATCCTAATTTGTGTAGGGTGTTAAGGGAAATGTTAGTTGAATTTTTCCACAGTGCTATGAGTAGACATAACATTTCCATTGAATTTCACATAGTCTTGCTTTCCAAAAATGTATTCTCATCCTGGTTTGAGTGAATTACAGATTCTATCTCGCCTGGACTAACCCTATTAGCGCCTCCAGAGGGACTCGAACCACGATACTGCAGCATATGATCTCGAAATGTAAGCCACTAGGATACAATGTCATGAATGCCCTTGGGCCATAGGACAGATGTGAATTTCAAGAAAGGCTAAGCATTTCAGATTTGACATTATGTGGTGGGATTGTTGATGGAGGTCTTGCTGCCGATATGACCAAGCTGAAAAAATAAGGTCAAACAACTTATATTACTTATTTTATTCGTTTTGAGTAGGTTTTGCCTTTTTATTCCTTCTATATCTATCATGAAGTATTTGTTGTATTGAGAGCGTTTGTGTTACCCTAAAAGTTCTTTTCTTTGTGCACCAAGATATGGCTTTACTCGTGTGGATTAGGGGCTAAAGTGTCTAATGCATATTCGAGGTAAATTGATGATGCCTTAAGCAATTCACTCACTTATAGTAATATCATACATTATGAGGGAATACAAGAATTTGCTTTATTACCAATCCTCTTCTGAAAAGGTGATTTGTCAAAAGCCCGACTTGCCTCGAAAGTCATATCGGTCTTTGAATCGTGGCTATCTGACTGAGCAGTATCGTGTTGTCATGTGACGCGTATCACTCGGCTTCGAATCTAGCCTAGGATGCTGATGGGCTCCAGGACTTGTCAAGGCTGAAGTACATTTAAAGGTGAAATAAGGCCATACAAAATGGAATAATATCGTTGGTCCCTCTAACTAATTTAATCTAGTACCTTTAACTATCAGTTCCTACGTCTCGTTATGCGGTATTAAAGGGCTCAAATTCTCCTGAATGGATCAACTTATATTAAAAGTGAGTAGTCCTTGAGGTAATCTGTAAAAGTTTAATTAAAGTTGTTATCACCCAAGTTTAAATTGAATATTCTCCTAAACTTCACAGTACAACTTGATTTCTCTTACCCATATTCTTATAAAGGCATCAATATCCAGGTTGGACTGCAGTTTCAACGTCGTCTTATCATTTCTTTAGCCTCCCCAATGGGATTAAAACGCGAGCTGTAGATCAGGAATCTATTTTCGTCACGTTGATACAAAACCACACTGCTATGAGTGCCAGTGGGTCACAGGAAAGGCCCGAATTTCAAGGCGAGCCCGTGACCCATAAACACTTGCGAAAAAGGCGTATATATAGCATGTGAAAACTAGATAGACGTTACACTAGCCGGGTTCGAGTCCCGCCAGTAGGTCTGATGAGACCCAGACGAGGTTTAGTCCAGCTGAGATAAGAATAGCTTTTGGAGAGTAAGACGAAGTGAAATCCAGTGAGATCATGATGCATAGTCTTAACATTGTTGGAAAGGGTATTACCAGTCTTTCATCACCTTATACAGCATGGGGTGATGACAGCTTATTTTAGGTCCATCCATAATTTAGGTAGGTAGATAGGCATTTTTTCTGCCTGTTGAGGGGAAGAAAAATGTACGAGACTGATTCAATAAGTGACAAAAAGGTGACTCGAGGTCAGTGGTGAAGTATATTTGGCCACTAGCCCAACAAATGCCTTTCTTCCAATTCCCCAGATCTCCTAAAGGTTGGGATCGCTCATCTATCCATTTCCATTTATCCACATGCATCACTTCGGGTTGATGTTGTAAGGCCAGATGAGGAATCTACCGAGGATGAATTATAAAGAGTTTATAAGTAGGTTTTTTGAGGGTATCATAAGATCTGGTATAAGGGCACTCTACTCGGTTTAAGATAGTAAAGGCCTGGTGGTTGAATTTTCCTGAAATGTTATTAGTTGACGTCACGTTTTCATACAATTTAACTTAAACTTGCTTCTTAAGGACTATTCTCAACTAGACTGTACTGGACTGCAGCTTCGACCTCGCCTCGGTTTTATCACCATATCCATCGGGACTCATCTGATTGTGGGAAAATTAAATCATCAGTCCTTCATCATATTAGACGAGATAGGCACTTTTCTCATTGAAAAAAGGGCCTGATTTCTGCAACGAATTTCACTAAATTGTCTTTGGCCTTAATTCTGGATTGTAATTTTGACCCCGTCTCATCATCACTATCTACGATTGAGTTCGAACTGTGACCAAGAGGTTATCTCGGAAGCCATATAATTATAGCCTCGTTAGGCTACATGACAACCTACGAAGCATCGTTTGTCTCTACAAATTCACTCCTTTTCAAGACACTTTTGTTCAATATGACAGAATTTTATATTCGAAATGAGTGCGTTTCAAGGTTATTAGTGGAACTTTCGACAATCTTAATCGCTTAAGATTATGCAAATTGTGATGTTTGGACATCTAACCTCGAAAATGGTAGTCCAGAGAATGTCATTTAAGTTCCCATGGTCGCGTCCTAATGATTTTTGCCTCCAGGCATAACCACAATTTAGGTCTCTACTAATTGGCGTATTGATATCGTGTCCAAATTATCCGCTGCACCACCGGGGTTTGATTCAGTGGATAAAATACATGCGAACTAGCAGGTGAGTTCAACCCAGTCAGGATGGGAGGCAAGAACCTGTTAAATTTAATTGTCTGTTCATAGCACTGTGGTAAAAGTTCAACTAAAATTCCTTCATCTCTTGTGTGATCTGGGGGGAGTAATACTTTTACTTTTTTTAAATTGCCTTTACAATGTACGGCATAACTTTTATTCAAAATAAGTGTGCTCCGAACTATTAACTAGTTAACTTTTGGTGTTACTGGAACTTTCTTTTTGTTTTTGTCCTCGAAGAAATCGTCTTTGGTTTAGGTGTTATTGTGCTTTCATGTCACTTGACACAATCAGAGCTTGGTACCATTATGACATTCAAAATAAAGCTCCATAAAAAAGTGGGATTCGAGTTTGGATACGTGCTTCAACTTGGCAACATCAGGCGCCACAACATCATAAATTCTTAACAATACAATATCAAAAAATGACAAAATAATAAAACGAAATAAAATAAACAAAACACCATGACGCTTCATCACAACATCAGATCATCGAAAAATCACATTACAACACTACAACACCAGAGCACCCCAAATTCTCATCACAACATTACATCGCCAAAACCTAATGTTACAATCCCACCAGAACACAAGATCAAAATATTATACCATCACAAAATTACAACATTACAGCGTAACAAAAAAACAAAACTACAACACCATAAAGTCATA